AAAATAATATCCTTCATGTAGATTTACTCTGATCTCAGTGTACTAAAATTTAAATTGTGAGAGATTTCACATAAAAATCCAGATTTCTGACCTCTTTGAAAAAAATGAAAATTACATAATAAAACCCCAAAATCTAGTACGCAGAGACCTGGATTCCTGCATGAAAACAGTTGGCTGGATAATAGCCTTGGCTGAATCTTGTATAGTAAATACACCCGTGTTTGCTACTCTTATGCTCCAGACACCAAGGTCAAAGCAATTCCATTTATCATTGCATTTACCCTGGCTTTTGCTACACTTAGTCAGCCTGTATGCTATTTAATTTTACTCTCTGGATATAAGGGTATTTGAGCTTGGAACCCTTGGCTTTGGCTTGACTAAGTCTTTGTAACTCCAAGACACTGAATATCTTTCACCTCCAGACTCTACACAATCTCTGAGCTAATGATAACTAAGCTGGAGAGTGAGATCAGAATTTTGTTTCCTCCTCTAAGCTGGCATCCTAGAAAATCTGAAACAGCCTCACCAAGCAGCACTTCGCCTCCAGCTCCCACTCCTTTTCCCAGGCCATGAATTCTGGTGTTGCTTGAGTCTTTCCCCTCTAATGTTAGAGCACTCCTGGAAATGCCACTGGCCAGGGACCAACAATGCCACCCTCCCAGTCTTGACTACTAAGTCTTTCACTTAGGGACCAAACCCTGCTACACTGAGCTCAAGAGATCTTTTTTCCAATCTTTAGACTAGCAGTATGATAGCCACTTAGCAACATGTGGTGACTGAACACTCAAAATGTAGCTAGTTCAAACTGAGATATATAAAGTATAAAATATGTGTGGGATGTCCATGTGTATGAATTAAGCATATCAACTATTGTATTAGTAATTTTTATATTAATCTTGTATTGAAATGACAATATCTTTTGATACATTTGGTTAAACAAAATATATTATTAAGTTTAATTTCACCTACTTCCTTTTACTTTTTTTAATATGGCTACTAGAAAAATTTAAAGCTACATATGTGGCTCATATTCTAGTTCTATTGGATAGAACTAAAACAAAAACCACAGCTGTTCAAAGAGTTGTGCACCTCCCTATTGTTACTCTATTAGCCTGTCCCTTAGATGAAAGCAAAGCTTCCAGCCAACAGCTCTGTCTCACTATCCAAAAGGCAGGAGATTGTTCTATCTTACCTCTTTAGGTAGCTTTCTGTTAAAAGACTCTCCTTTTCTACATGTCATTCCTCCTGTTTATAATCCAGCTTGCTAAATTCCCATATTTATGTGAGTACAAGGTGTGTTGGTGTATATGTATGCACATGCACAGGCTTGCACATGGACAGTTGTGAGGAAAGAGTAGCAGGGAAACCTGGTAGGTAGATAGGTTAGTAAGAGCCCGATGTGTGTGGCAGTGGAAGGGTGTGGGAAAGAAGATGCTTGCCTTCTGCAAAGGAAACCTTGAAGTGAATTGCTCTCTTCCCCTCACCATGGAAAACAGAAGGTGCCAAACCAAAGGAGTAGAGCTTACCCTGTTATCAAGAGGCTCTGGAAACAGAAATACTGAGGAGCAGTGAGGACCCCTAGAAAAACCTAGGTACCAGATTTCAAAGGAAAACTAAATAGTTGGAGGAGTGGGGGGGTAGGACATAGGTGTAGAGGTCCTTACACAGTTTTGGTGCAGTTCATTTAAACCAATCTGAATCACAGAAACTTTTAAGGATCTAAAAATTGAAGCCGTTACTTGCACTAATGCAATAGGTTTTGCTAAGTGAAGTGCTGTCAACTGGCCTGCTCCCTCAATCACTAGGGTTTGTTTTTGGTTGGTAACTCTGTGCAAACAAATGAATGAGATGAAAACCTTGCTACTCAAAGTGTGCTCCCTAGAACAGAAGTAGCAGCAGTACCCTAAGAAGCTTGCTAGAAAAATTCTTAGCCCCTACCCTGAACCAACTCAAAAAGACCAATGAAAAGATCCTTATGTAATTCATGCAATCATTAAAGTCTGAGAAGTACCTGAAGTTTAACCAGACTGTATTATTTGCCTAATAAACTCTTTTGGAAAATAAACAATGGCAGATTTTCATCTGAGTTAGACTCTCTGAGATTTGTCCCACTGGGGATCTTTCTGTTTTTCTTTTTCTTTGAACTGTAGCTAATAATACAGAATGTTTTGCAAGTATATCAGAGGTTCCAGGTGGTTCTTGGATGGGTGCCTTGAAACAAGGCTATAAAAAGCCAAATTTTTCTCTTACAAGTTTCCAACTTAAGTATTCCCTGAGGCAAATAGCTTTGGCATAAGGGAGGCAAATAATTTTATGTAAAAGAGATATCTACATAAATAATGTGTGACCCCCGTGTACATAAAAATAAGGTGGGGAATTGCCACAGTCAAATTCATTTCAGAATGTTACAAGTTGACACATAAATACAGGACTTTTGTCCCAAAACCAAGAAAAGTAAATTAATCCAAATACTTTTGACATTAGTTAAAACTTTTCTATTGCCAACAAAAACCTCTTTCTCCCTCCCTCCATATATATATTCTCCACATATATATTCTACATATATATACCATATATATATATATATATTCCATTATCCCTTAGTTATTTTTATATCTTTCACAGATGTTATAATATTGCCACTTGATAAGATAATGAATTTCCCATTCACTTATTCCAACCATGGAGCAAAATAAAGTGCACAGGAGAGCATTTAGTATTTTGAAATAAAGCATTAATTCCTCTGTGAAATTATCTGCAAAAGGGCTCTCTATTTCAAATATAAACTCTCAAACTTAACAGAAATTCCCCAAAGACAGTAAAAACAAATTAATTCAGGAAAATGTATTTATATATATGGTATTCCAAGCCAACCAATTATGTATCACTGTATATCAACGTTTTGAGTGATCACAACTCAATAGACTTTATGTCTTTGCCTTTCAATCTCTTGTTTATTAACTATCTGCATTCAAGATGCTTATATATTTGTATCTGATTACATAGATATTTATTAAATTATTATACCTGGATATTTTTCTTCATGACATTTGTAAAATACAATTCATCAAAATAAAATGCACATGAAAAAAACCTGGCTAAGCCCATACTTACCATTCAAAATATATACTCTTAATGGCAAAAAGTAATAACTTAATTAAAAAGTGGGCAAAAGACCTGAGTAGACATTTTTTAAAGACATACAAACCCAGCAGGTGTACAAATACCTCAACATCACTAATTCTCAGAGAAACACAAATCAAAATCAAGCTATAACCTCACATCTGTTAGGATGGCTACTGTTAAAAAGTTAAGAAAGAGAGCCTGGGCCGGGGATTTAGCTCAGTGGTTCCACCACCTGCCTCACAAGCGCAAGGTCCCAAGTCTGATACCCA